AACAGTCCCATCAGAATTATATTTTGTCTTATAAACTCACTTACATCCAACCACATTTTTCAAGCCATCCCAAGGTACTAAATCCCAAGTCTGAATAGAAAGTAGCGCATTAAATTCATTAGCCATGGCAGCCCGCCAAATAAAATGTTTTTGAGCTTCAGAAAAACAAGTAGGATCATCCGGGGGTGAGAACACACTCAAATTAAAAATTGCTTTGGGCTTATAAATACCATCTTTGGCTTTAGTTTGCATTGGGTGACAATTGGATAAAGGGAGTGATGCTTTAGTAAGAGAGGAACTAAGAGTTGGGCTGGTGGGTATACTGGACTGGGAACGCAAAGATGGACTGGGTATGGAGATGGGTGGACTGCTGAGTGGTGAACTAGGTGGAGGGCTAGTAGATGAGCTGGACAGTGGGTGAGGTACGGAAATGGGTGTTGGGTGGGTCAGAGTGGATGGTGAGCTGGGATCGGGGCTGGTCTCTGGACTTAGGTGTGCGGTGGGACTGCCGAACGTGGGAGTAAGATAGGCCGAAGAGAGGGAGGCTGGGAAATTATGGTGTGATGCAGTACCTGGACTTTCCAGCGGAGCTGGTGCTAAGGGTGAGGTCTGGAGCAAGGTTCTGGGCGTGGTAGGGGACTGCATAGAGGGCCATATCAGGGAACTGGTGGAGGCAATATTAGGAGATGGTAGAGGGGTTTTACTGAGCCGAGAGTAAGGAAAATCATTTTCAAAAAATTGAACATCTTGACTAATATAGACTCTACCAGAAACGGGATCGAGACAACGATAACCTTTATAACCCGGTGCGTACCCAATAAAAACACATTATATGGAGCGAGGTGAGAGCTTGTTAGAAGACTTGACAATGATATTTGGAAAACAAGCGCAACCGAAAACACGGAGAAAAGCAAAATCTGGAGTTTTGTTAAAAAGTTTTTCAAAAGGAGTAAAGTTATTAAGTATGGGGTAGGTAAACGATTGACAATATAAGTAGCCGTGTACAGAACATCAACCCAAAAGGCAGAAGGAATGGAAGATTCAATCAACATAGTCCTAGTCAATTCAAGAAGATGCGTGTGTTTACGTTCAGCTACACCATTTTGAGCAGGAGTATCCGGGCAAGATTTTCTGAATAAAATACCAGTTCTGAAAAAATGATTTTGAAAAATGGTGTTGTCAAATTCACCACCCCCATCACTCTGAAAAATTTTGATTTTTCTATTAAAAAGATTTTCCACAAGAGTTTGAAAATTACAAAAGTGAGTAAACACCTCAGACTTGGGCCGCCTAGGATAAATCCAAATATAACGAGAAAAATCATTAATGAAGCAAACATAATATTTAAAACCCAGATTGGATAAAACAGGTGATTGTCAAACATCAGAATGAATAAGTTCAAGTGGCGCAATACAAGTATGAATAACATCCTGAAACGGGAGTCTGCGGGATTTACCCAACTTACAAGAAACACAATTATGAGTAAAAGTGCTAGAAACTGAAAGTAAATTATTTTGCCGAAGTCTTTGTAAAACTCTATCACCACAATGCCCCAAATTCTTTGTAAAACTCTATCACCACCTCCACGGAAGATAATCCTCAACCGCATTTAATCGGGTAGTCACAATATTTGTAACATTGGGTGTAGAAAATCCCAATTGAGCAGCAAGAGAGGCCAAAGAAGAGGGATTTGGGGGAAAACCTGGAAGCTGTTGAGCCAGAGAAGAGAGGCGGCGGTGGAAGCCGCTGTTCAGAAAACGATGCACTGCCTGGCGGTGGAGGAAGAGAGGCCGTCATAGAAGATGAAGCCGCTGCAGCAGTGCGAGAAGGTGTCCACGAAAAAGGCTTGGACATGTTAAAGAGACGATATGACGTCAATGGAGGTGGCATGTGAGACGTGCTTGGCGAGACCCTTTGCTGAGATATGTTCGGTGAAGAGAGGGCAGAAGAGGGCGACTGCATCGCCATGGTAGATACGGGTTGAGTCGAGGAAGAAAGCTGCTCGGTGGAGACCGGCGCTGTGATTGCCGCTGCGATGGTGGTCGCAATTCCCGCGGAAGAAGTTGCCATCGTCGAAGGAGTTGTGGCAGAGGAGACCGAAGGCGTTGAACATGCGGAAGAAGAGGTCATTGAGAATAGAGGCGCTGTGTACTAGGTTTACCTAGGCTGCTGATACCATATGGAATAATAAGATGGAATAATGGCTCACCCTATTAGGATGTCCTGGTGGTCTATATATAATAATAATCAAGTAATAGGAAAATTACAGTTATGGCCCAATACTATAGATTATTAGTTTGGACACTGTTTGACGCAGTTTTGCACTGTTTGGCATTATTTGGCACTGTTTTGATGTAGATAATTTGCCAAATAAGGAAAGAGGAACTTAATTCGCGGACTGCCCAAAAAGGAAATGGGGAACTTGTTTGGGTGGCGGAAGGAGTATATGTTATTGTATATTTCAAGAAAATGTATTTTTCATTTGGATTTTAGTCATTAAATTATCTAAGGATATTTAGAAAAGAAATGATTCCGAATTGAATAGAAGTGAAACATATACATACAAAGATTAAAATATAATTAAGGATGATTTGTAATTTTAGTCTCGTAACTTTCAGTTGTGCCGTTATTAGTTTTGTAATTTTACTCGGTTGCAAATTTGATCCGATATCTTATAAATATTTTCAATTAATGATTCTTCAGCCGAAAAGTACACTTTCTGGCTAAAAAATGCGATCAACGTCGAATTTTATGTCAGAAAGTGTACTTTCCGATGAACAAATCTTTAAGTTGCAAATACTTACTCATATTAAATAATTACAGGAGCAAACTTACCGGCGATAAGATACATGACTAATATTGGGCACAGTTGGGCACAGTCTAACGTTACAAGATCGACTAAAATTGCAAATTTCTGATATAATTAATTATATTTTACTTCTGAAATACAATTGCCCATTCTTATTTAATTAGTCTTAATAGAAAAACTTCTCTATTAGGAGTTAATTATTTCAATTTTGAAAAGAAAATGTGTTATATTCTTTTATCTATGTATAAGAAAATGATTTATTCAAATAGAAGGTAATGTACTTTCCCCCCTAATCTAGTTTTGTGTCGAGGCGTTGTCTTGTTTGCGCGCACAATTTTTATATGAATTTTTTAGTTTGAATAAGTTCTATTTGGGCTACTATAAAGCTATTATAAATCGTAAACTTAAAAAGTTATATTTTTTCTAGTCTTAGATAGAAGAGTCATTAGCACATTGAAAGACAATTCAATTGAATTACAGTACTCTATTTTATGAGTACTAAATTAGATATACTACATTCTACGGAGTATTAATCAGTGGCGGGCTCAAATGGTTTTTCAAGCAGGGGCACTGCCACATATATGGATCGGATCAGGTGTATGCGTGATCTATTTGTAAACCCATAAAAAGTTCTAAACAATAATCTTTGAGTTTCTTTCAAGATTTTGAATAGAAATGTCTTTCCCCTTTGCACTTTTTTTATTTTGATTAGAATTCTCGTTATTTTTAATACAATAAAATGGTCGAAATTACAATTTTCAAGTAAGATCATGTTAAACGCTGCATGTTGTGTCACCAAATTTGTTGGTACTTGTTTCATACGTAGTACAAGTATATAATAATATCGTGTCAAAAATAAAGATGATTCAATGTTTCTATTCCATCATTCAATACAACTTTATTTAATACTATGATTTTGTATATCAAACTTTTATCATATAATATGAAAAATTAAAGGGCCTGTCGGTCCAACACCATACACCTTTTCATGTAAGATTTTCTTAAGAGAAGAATTAATCCTCAATTCATCAAGTTCATCCCACATATAAGCCTTTGTCATATCTTTGACCTCTAACTTTGGACAAACATTATTCAAAAAAAAATCACCAATGTGGGATGTCAAAGAAAATGTAACGATCATGTCAACAACATGTCTAATTGTAATGATCCGTACTTTGACCAACCAGAGATTAGATTAAAATAGAGAGGAAATGTCCTACTAATACAATCATTTCATTGGACTCAGTAACAATTTAAATATAAATCAATTTCAATTTAGATAAATTTTACTGTATTAGACTAAAGTAGATATTTGTGAAATCACGTATCCACATAATTATCTTAAAAATGACTACACGTTTTCAATATGAAACTATAACTTGAATGTGTAGGTAATTACTCTTACAGACCGCATTTCTTTACTACTCCGTATAAAAAACTATGAATTAATTTCCCATATGAAATATTAAAAAACAGAAATTTTAGTACTTCAATTTTAGGAAAACTACATTGTTTTTTACTATTGTGTACTATTTAGAACAATTTCTTAAATAGTAAGTAAAATCTACTCCTATAGGGAGTGTTTGGACCTACTTCTCATAACTGATTTTGCACCTTCAACGAGAAAGAAACAATATTGAAGTATTTGAGCAAAGTGTGGAAGTATTTTTTATGTGCTCTAAATTGCTCTTACAAGCCGTTCTTGTCTTTTTTTTAGAAATTTGAGGAGGGCATTTTTGAAAAACTTACTCTAATTTTACTTATGTTTTTTCGTAAGCAGAAGCAAAACCATTTCAAAACACTCCATTATATGAAAACTGAAAAAGTCTTGTATGTACCAAAATTGAATACAACTACATATCTTTCGGACTCATGAAGCAATTCATAATCCATATTCCACTTTCCATATAATGGAGTGTCATTCTCGCAATGAATGTATTACTTAATCTATTGTTCTAGTGAGAGTTCGACCAATGAGCTGAAATCCTTCCCAATTAACCAAATGTATTTTACAATTCGAATAATCTAGCAAAAAAATTAAGAAACGTCCGCATAATGTTAGTATAAAAATTGTGCAAAGGGGTGGAGATTGGCTTTGATGCATTGTTTGTACAATAGTCAAGGTTTCACAATACGATGTGAAGTTTTGAAGTAAAGTAGTAAACTTATCTATACTCTACCGTGGAGACAAATCACAATAGATCTTGGCTATGATAACATGTTAAAACCGAGAATTTATCCTAAAAGGTAACCAAATATAAGGAGTAGCTCAAAACCTTATATAGTGTTTTATTGTTTCATAATTTTCCAGTGTAAGACAAATAATTTAACATAAACATTTGTAATCGGTAAAAAATACATTAACATTCTAAGATTTGGTCTCTACAATATAATGTTTTTTAAACCCCGGCCCCTAGCCTCCGTAACTTTTGAACAGAAGTTATCCTTCAATGACTCTAACCGGAGTCCTGCATGCATAAGAAGTGTTGTTATGACTGGAACAAACTTTGATTATAAATCAAATGCATTTGCACTTATCTTGCTCACCCAAATGGACTTTGTTTGATTGATAGCAGTTCAACATCCAACTGTACATATAACAAAAATAAGAGCAAGGTAAGGACCAAAAAGTAACAAGACCAACAAAAAAAGGCAGATCAGAAGCTACTAGAGACCTGGTTAAGATTTACTGGTAATGTAATACAAGCAAAATGTATGCAGCAACAAACCCTAACCAAAACTTGAAAACGAAAAAAAATCGCTTGGCACCAATATAGAACCACCACCTATATATGCTTGTTTACCATGTTACCATCTATTCACTGCTACAAAATGAAGATCATCATCAGTTAATACTTTATAATGACACTACACCAGTACACCCCCTCCTTAACCTCCATAAAACAAGCTCTAGTCATGGTAACCTCTTGTAGCAAATATGGATCGCCATCATGGTTATGGCATTGGCAGTCATTATGGCGATACCAACCGCAATTGTGGCAGTTTGCTGTAGTGAGCAAGTAAATTTAGCTCCTGTTAGAATGGTAGTAAATGCGACAAATCTAAAGTGTCAATGTGGGGCTACCAGAGCTAATATTCGATGTCATCATTGGTGGCAGCTATATTTAAGGTTGGAATAGATTAGATCATTAGAGTGCAATCATTGTAGAGAGTGTGCTAGAGTCAGTGCCAGTGGGGCTGGTCGGCTGCGGTTGCAGTGGTGGCAGTGTCATTTTTCTGTGCTGGGCGTATAATTGACAACTCAGTATATTGATTATTGAATGTTACTGATATCATTTTTTGACAATGAGATCTATGACTAAGTGACTAACCTCTATGTTTTAGGCTTTTAGCTACATTTAGGTAAATTTCTCCAAAGAAAAATATGGATGAGTATGAACATGTCACGGTATATGGGATGAGTGAGCCACTAATCATTAATTAGTGGATTATGAGTCTAATCTCATAATTGGTTTGGTTTCTAAATTGTACTCATATTATCACTAAGGTTTCTCATTATGAGGTATATGTTTTATATACCTCTAAGGTTCTAACTATTACGGAGTATCATATAAAGGATATCAAGTTTGAGGCACAAGCCAGATTGAATCTTATAAAATTTCACTTATAAAACACCCCTTATAAAACCTTAGTGATCACATATAACAAGAAACAAGAACTATATCTTGGGAACCTGGTAGTATTATCACAAAAGGAGGGAAATGCGCATATAAATAATTAAAAATCACCTCAATTGTCGCATTTGGAGGAATTTCTTGAACCCCTTTCTTTCCGTAAGCTAGGGCAGGAGGAACGATCAGTAACCGCTGCAAAAGGATAGGCTTATGGCCTTTCTTATAGAGCAGATAAATGATTTAATGTATCCTCAAATATATTATGGCCTTTCTTACATAGCAGATAAATTATTTTAAGTTTCATTTTCTTACGGGTTTAGGCCCATTATTTTTCATACCTCGTATAAGCATTTTTTTTTAAAGAAAAATTTTAAGTCTCGGTCGCTGGAGGGTATAAGCATTTTAATAGACTAGAAATCATGAATTTGTAATTCCAAAGTCATAACAGTGAGAGTAGTTTACTATTGGGAAATTACCCTAAATAGGAGTAAATAACTTTGGGAATTCCAAAATAGGACCACTATGTTTTTCTTCCCGAAATAGGAGTCGTTACTGTCATGATCGAAAAATATTGTCATGATTGAAAAATATTGTCATTAATTATAATAAATACTATCATGTTAAATGCCTAGTACTGCAACTATTTGACAGTCACGGCCAAAAGATGTTGTAAATACTGTCATCTTAGTCCTATTTCGGGAAAAAAAAACATAACAGTCCTATTTTGGAATTTCAATCTCTAGTTAGTCCTATTTTGGGAAATCTCCCTTTACTATTCAACGATTGGAGATATAAGTAGAAGGTTCTTTGAGATATAAACAACATTTTACACTGTGTTTCAATTACTCATCAGTCCATATAGTTCCATGATGTCCAACAAACTATAATAGAATGTAGTCTAACCTGTCCTCCAACTCTCATGCCTTGAACGCCAAGGTCTAATCCTTTAAGGACTGTCCCTCGCTCTGATTGCCCGACATCAAATCCATAAGGCTTCATCAAGTAAATTGTACTATTTATGTTAGATGCAATAACAATACTCCGAACTTTGGTATGTCTATACTTAATTTCACAATGATTAGGCAATGACAGGTAACACTGGTTACTCTGCAAAACCGCATTACTAATCTGTTTCATCTAGCAATGATGTAAATTAGTCATACCATTCCACCTCCAACACCCACTCCTTGTCTGCTCGTCATGAATGTGATTCCTCGCCATTTAGCTACATAGTGGACCTATAATAAGCTTATAGCATACAACATTTCAATCGGTTCTTTAGGCACTTTGGGGTAAATGAAATCAATGCACTCAAGTTTTAAAAATAACAGCTTTGCCAAAACCATACTGCAACTCTAGATCCTCTCACAGCTTCTGGTCCTGAACCAACCTTCAGATCATAATACCTACAAAATAGTCCCTACCACTAAATTCAAGCAAATTACATGAAAAGAACCACAAGCAATTGTATCTACCAATGGAGTGAACAGGAGATGATCAAATGGAAAACCATTCATATGGTTTTCCATTTTGGTCCCTGTAGTTATAGTAATTAGGACATAAGCCCTAAGTATTTAATTAACGAGTTTCAACCCAAAACATTAAATTCCATTTAACCAGAAACAAGTTTGAAGGGAAAACTGAAACACTGACTTTAGCCCATTAGGAAGAGCTGTATAATCACTCTCAGGTATTTTTGCTCCTCTAAGCTGCACCATAAAACGTTAAATAAATTAAAATGAGAAATAAAAACAGTGATTGTCCATTAACAATAGAAATCATTCCAAATATATATCCAAAATAAAAGTATCAGACAAAAATATGACCTAAGTAACTTTAGTTACAATAATTGTATTTAAATGTTACATCACAGTGACTATAAAACTTACGCATAGTAACTTATAGTCACATTTTTGTCCATAGATTTTTTGTTAGTACTATTTTAGGAAAAGCCTCAAAATATATATAGATATCACAGTTTGATCATCAATGTACTAATCAAGATGAAATGAGAATCTTACAGCTCTTCTACTTGTGCTAACAGCCCTGGCCGCATCACAGAACTGAATGCTAGCAGCTGAACAAAAATTTAAACGCATTTTAAGGCCAGTAAAATTTCAAACTTATTTCTTTATCACAATAATTAGCTCGTGATTAAAAGATCATCAAATTACAAGGCGTTTTCCCATTATTAAGGCAACTAAGAGCAAATTCAGGGAATACACGCAGAAAAACAAACCCATGAAAGGGATATGGTTACCTGCAGCTAAAACAAGACAACCCATTAAGGCCCTTCTTCCCTCATTCTGCAAAGACAGGGTTTTTATAGTGACCTCCTGAGACAATGAACAGCAACAGAGTAATACTCTTGAATTAATCCACTTGAAGGGCGAGGGTCTGCTTCCTGTGCATTTCACATTCAGTCTTTAATTACAGAGCAGTTTGTGTGTATCAGTGTGTGTAAAGAGTCAGAAAGAGAGAAAGTGATTAACTGGTTACAGAAATGGAGGGGAAAGACTGTGTTGGCTTGAGGGAATGATGGAGGAGATGACCCATGGTCATGCAGACATAAGTTGTGGCATTGAGCGATTGGGATGAGTTTATTTTGTTAAGGATTTTAAACGATGGAATTATAATGGATAATGTCAATTGCCAAGAATGTGAGCCACAATTTGTAGTTTCAGTTCTCCTGGAGATATGGATAAGTATTTTTAGAACTTTCGTACACATTTTTATACTCATTTTATACACATCATGTTTGTGAAGTTTTTTTTGCCTGAATCCGATTCACAGACAAAATAATTTGCACAGACATATTTTGTCTGTGATCGGGATTCACAGACAAAAAAAAAACTTTGCACAAACACGGTGGATATAAAAGTGGGTATAAGTGTGGATAGAAAAATGTTTTACTTCCGGTTTTTATGTACACCTTTGGCAAACTCTAAATAAAAAACCATTTTTCCCCTTACGTGTCCTTCCTATTTGTGTTTCTTTTTTCTTCTAGAATAGGAGAAAACAAACGAAGTTAGAGTCGACAAAATTTCGTCAGAAATTTAGAGATGAATGGATTAGTGAACCACTTTTTTTTTGGATTATGATTGAACATATAGAGAGTACTTCAATCACTTCTTATTTTTTTTCATAATCTTCACACATATAACATAAATCTCAGTAGCTAAGATAACTTAAAATTTATCATTGATTTTTTGGACGCAATGAGAAGTGAAGATTTAAGACCGGTATGTATGAAAAAACTTAACAGGTATTGGAAAGACCTCATGCATTGATATATTAAGTCCTAGGCTTGAAAAGAATAAATAAATAAACTTTTTCACTACCTGTTATGTGATGTAGCTCATCGAATACTAAAGGGTTTGAGTGTATTTCTTTGTCTTCAGAAAGAAAGAACATAAATACAGCACTAATAGATCTCAAACTCATGACCGTTGTTAGAATTTATGTAGACTTCACTTAAGCTATAAGATCTCTTTGTTACTTAGCTCCAATAATTGTAGGGAGCAGGCAGGGGCGACCGAAGGAGAGCCGGGCCCCAGGCCCTTGATAGTCTACCGGAGGCGGGAACGGGCTCGAGCCCACCTATGTGGGTTGGCTATTTTAATTGGCTTTAATTAATTTCTTAGTTATTTCCTTATAATTTGTTTCCTAGTATGATTTATTTAGGACTTCTATTCTTATTAGAATTAGAAGATTTCTATTCTATTTAGTTTCCTAGAATGGTTTAATTAGGATTCCTAAACTAGTTGGTTATTTATGCCCATTAATAGGGTTATTCGAACTATCCATTATTATTGAATAAATTTGTGTTTAAGCTTTAAGCTTGGGCAACGATTGCTACCGTTGATTGTATTTTCCTGCTCTCATCAAATAACAAAATTGCAATTCTGTTATAGAAGTGATACAGAGGGTAGTATGGTGTAAAATGATAGTTTCAGTTTGAGGTAACTTTACATAATAAATAAAATTGACACACAGGTTTTAGTTCAGGACTATGCATTTAGTCGTGTATATCAATCAGTCCGGAGCCACTCTTGTTCCAAAGTGTTCACATGAACACTCAACTTTTTTAAAAGTATATGTGTATAAATTTAGTATCATTATTTATTACTGTTACCATTTTTAGTTGTAAAAAACATTGAACACCCAAAATGTAAATTCCAAATCCGCCACTGATATCAATAGGTTTCACAAATCAAGAGTCATGATATGTTACTTAACTCTAATGTCTCATTTTGAGAAGACTTATGTCAAGTAGCTTCGAAGTTGAAATCCATTTGAAGGTGATTTTTAAATCAAGATTCCTAAAAAGACAGGTATATAGGATTTAAAGAAATTGACACAACCTTTGTTAATATCTAATTATTTTGTTGCATAACTTGTTACAATGACCATTTGTGTTTCACTATTTGTAGTGTAAGCTCAAACTAAAGAAGGTCGTTTGCAATATTAGTACGAGTCATTCTATGGAGTAAACTGATGAATCTGCGGCCAGACAATTTAACGTTGAGGGGGTGGTTGAACTTTCATCCTAATATTCTCCTAGTACTTACACAGTCCTATGCCAAAAATGGTTATCCCTTAACATAATTGATATGAGTTAAACTCGGGTCTAAAAGCACACTAAAGCATGCATGAGTTTCTTGCAGCAGGAAGCACTAAATCCCGAGAAGCAACAGAATGTGAATGCTTTCCAAGCACTTTGTCTCATGCTTCTCTTTCTCATCCATCTAATTATTAGTTATTATGCTTCGCTGTCTGCCTCCACTTCTTGATTTTCTCAACCCACCTTTCCCGTTTTGAACGGTCGTGAGAGGTGCTCGCTGATTGGGACGGCTAAGCAATTAGCTAAATGGTGCTCCGGAGTCATAGAATGCATCCTTAGTTCATGTTCAGATGAAAAATCCGCAAACTCTCCATGTTTTTAAGCTGTATCAATTGGGTGCATCTGCTTGACTCATTTTCATCAGCTCATGCCTCAAGCAAGCATTACACCACCAAAGATATACCAGTTCTTTCTCCACTTCTGTTGCTTTACTTTGCTGATGAACTTGCTCTTGCACTGATTCCTTGTGATCAACCATGCTAACCACGTCTGCATTAGTCTGCAAAGAAATTTACTTTTTTATTTATTAATAAAACAATGTAGAAAGAAAAAAGTCGATCTCAGATGTAGTAAGTTCATATTCTCAAATATAATCTATAGAATCCTCTAATACATGCATGTTCGGAAAACAGTCCACCACTCCTCCCCTCTCTGGAGGTTTTTATGGATGGAGCCAATGTTCTAAAAGGCGCTAGACGCTAGCCGAGCGCCTAGCGTCTAGACGAGCGCCTAGTCGGGGACTAGTCGGAGACAAAGAAATTGCATTTTTATCTATATTTTTGAACAAATATGATAAATAATATTGTATTTTTGTGTGTATAAAATACATATATACATATACATTAACAAATATGAATGATAGAATTGTCTCATTTAATCATACGTAGTATATGACAACTAATCGCTTAACTTCAGTATGTTATAAATATAAATAATGATGAAATTTAGGTATATATAGAAACATATATAGTTTTATCTTAGTTTACAATTTCATTTCTTTATATCCATGGCCAAAGCTAAAGTACTTATATCGCTTAGAAAATTAAAATTAAAAAGTAATGTAATGTTTGGTGAATCTAGACGGCCTAGGCGGCCGATTAGGCGCTCTAGGCGGGCAACTAGGAGCCATAGGCAGCCGACTAATTCACCTAGACGGCAAACCAATTAGTCAGAGCACCTAGATGAAAATCGGGGCGCCCGACCACCGCCTAGGCAGGGACTAGTCGGACACTTAGAACGATTTTTAGAAGATGGAGCTAACCCATGGCCAGTCCGAGGGGTGGGCAATACAGGCATCTGCCCTCGACCCCTGAAAAAAACTGAAGATATACCCAAAACATGGTGAATAAAAGCCCAAAATCACATGGAAAAAAACTCAATATTTCTATATGTTTGGAGACTGATTTGAGAAAAAAAATGGTAGACCTATTAAGTTGGTGAAGTAATAAGATTAAAAAAACAGCATACTTAGGGGGTTGGAGGTAGGGATGGACTGGGCCGGGCCGAACCGGCCCGGAACCGGACCGGCCCGCTACTGTGCGGGCCCGAACCGGACCGGGCCCGGTTGGCCGGTTCCGGGCTTTTAGCCCGTTTTGGCGGGTCGGGCGGGCCGGTTCCGGGCCCTGTTTTTGTTGAACCGGCCCGGGCGGTTCGGGCCGGGCCCGGTTCATTTTTTTTTTTTTTTTTTTGGTTTTTTCAATTTTTTTTCTTTTCCTAGGGTAGAGCTGGGTGTTTTAGGGAGGTTTGGGGCGTGGGGGTGAGGGGGGGGGGGGGTAGGGAGATAACAAGAAAGTCAAAAAAAAAAAAAAAAAAAAAAAAACATTGAACCGGGCCCGGCCCGGTTAGGCCCGGACCCGGTATCAACCCGGGCCGGTTCCGGGCCCATGTAACCCGAAAAAAAGCCCGCCCGGGCCCGGCCCGGAACCGGAACCGGCCCGGCCCGGGTCCATCCCTAGTTGGAGGGAACCGAGACAAGTGAAGAATGGAAGATTTTATCAAGAGATTATTGCCTATAGACAGCAAAAAAACAAGACTGGTCATGAGTGAACAAAACATTGTTTTTAACCAGGCATCGGGATGTGAAGAGAATGTTTTGTGTTTATACTACCTTGGGGGAATCTTGCTTTGCTGCCATTTCCAATCTACTATGTAGTTTATTCCTTCCATGCTGCAATTGCTCAAGAGCCACTTTTAGCTCTATGATATCTTTCTCTATCTTCTTGAGCAAGTGATCCTTGTTTTCAAGATCTGCTTGGTTCCTTAAAGTTTCTGCGTCTTTAGCTTTCAGCTGAAGATTTTTTTTCATTCGCCATACGCGAAAGATGTTTGATTTTCTTCTGAAGCCTTTTGACCCTCCTATCAAACAACACATTCCCTGATCTTGAATATTCAAGCAGTTTCATAATTTTGAGGATCTCTGGTCTTATCTTCTTAAGACTTTTCAGTAGTTCAGTTTGAGTTATCTCCAACAGACTTATTATCCTTCTCCGTAAGCAACATATCTTGAAAACCAACAATTTTTCTTGAGATTCAACTGTGTTCTTGGGATAGCTGTCTGCTAAAGTGTGATTATAAGAAGATGAAGATCATGAGTTAAGTGGATGGACACGTTCTCCATTTACATGAGTTCCAGAAGTGACAAATTCTGAAGAATCGTTGTGTCCTTTTACTGGAGAACAGCGCAAAAGAGAACTCTTTCTCTGTGTGATCCTAGCGATGATGAAACCAGCCACGGTTACAGCAAGAGGTATTCCTACTCTGAAAGGTGTAGGCTGCATGACTTCCACCTTTGTGCTTCCATCTTATGAATCAACAACTTACTGGGAATTCAGAATTTGCAACTTTACAGATATGTGATGGGTACCAGAGTTTGGGAGTAGAGTCGCAGAGAATGGTGTTACTAGTAAGCAAGACATATTCTTTCTTTCTTTCTTACATATTTGTATTTGCTTTTGAGATTTTTTTCTATTAGAAAATTAGAATTAGTGGTGTCCATTGCTTTTTGACTGCTCAATAGCACCTGCCCTTTTTTCATTCCTCTTCAACTTGCATTGGAATCTAATTCCTTTTCCACTGATTGATTATTTTATTTCCACCATTATATATTATGCATGAATTTCAGCTGGCGCAAAATACTTGGTAGATGTTGCACTCCTCCCTTTGTGTCTGAGCTAAGTCTGCCTTATGGAGAAGAAGGGGATGTATCTTTGAACCACATGTCTCACACAACAAATCCAGTTGGTAAACATTTTTTAGCTTACAACTCTTATCTGCCAAATTTTCTACCAAACGCCAACTTCTTTGATAGCATTATTAGCTTAACCAACTGATAAAATAGGGCAGATTTATTTTCAAGCTATAACAAATATAAATGCACATACTATTACAACATCATGTTTTACACTTTTACATATTGTTCCTTCTAATATATCAAAAAGTATTCCAAGATATACATTTAGAGAATTCAACAATATTCATTCATTTTAACCAAATTTGTCACTACCAGAAAGACTTACCTATCTTATTAACCAAGTCCAAACGTATTAAAATTTTACAACTAAAAAAAAGGGGAAGAGGGTCAGATAGACCCTCAAACTTACGTAAAAAGGTCAAATAAGCCCTTATATAGGAGGCTCTGTTCAGCCGTCGCCATTTGGAGCGGTTTCCGGTGGAATTTTTTGATGAAATTTTTTGAGCATCTTATTTATTAAGTCTAGTTTACTCATACCAAATTTCAGCTAAAACTTCAATCGGGAAGGCATTCAAATGAATTCTTGAAGATAACTGCGCAGTTAAAAGCACAATTATCTTCAAGAATTCATTTGAATGCTTTCCAGATTGAATTGTTAGCTGAAATTTGGTATGAGTAAACTAGACTTAACGAATAAGATGCTCAAAAAAATTCATCAAAAAAATCCACCCGGAACTGCCCCAAATGGCGACAGCCGGACATAGCCTCCTATATAAGGGCTTATTTGACCATTTTCCCAAAAAAAAACCACTTGCGAAGTAGCACAACCATGAGCTTGAATACTAATCTGTTTAAGTGGTTATCGCTCAACAAGGCAATTAAAGCCACTTCAATTATGCCTCATGATTAAACCAAATGCACCACAAGAAACCTAATGCTATTCCTATTAACTATCTAGTGAGGGGAGGGATGGGATGACAACAAACCATGTTACAAAAATAAAAACCCGGTCATCAGAAGCCAAACAGGCATATAATGGAATGCATTACATGGTGAACAGTTGACACTCAACTGTCCAGCATTGGTAAATTCATCCTTGCCAGAAGTCACAGACACATATACTGAGGTTGAACCTGCATGTAAAACATTGCTTACTTGAGCATAATTAATTAATTAATTAGTGTTAATCCAGAAGGTTTGTGTCAGCATAAACTTAAACATGACTTTCATAAGGAGAACAGGATCTAGTTGAAATGAAACTCACAATCATAATCAACCCATCCAATCCTCTGATGAGCTAAATCATAAACAATGATTCTATCCTTCAAAACAAGATCTAAGGATCAAAAGGTAGGAACAAAATATTAGTTAATTTTTGACAATGGCCTTTATCTCCAGAGAACATACATGTAAAAGAGTAAGAAACTATTCTTGTCGTCTTTCTTCTCATAATATATCAGAGGTAAATTGGCACATCAAAGGAAAAAAAGATATATCAAAGGTCACGCTGAAACACAACAATGCAAGAACTGACCTCCTAAAATTGTAATACCCAGCTCGTGTTTCTGAAAGCCATTGCACCAAACTTCATTACTTTCCTGTTACAATAGAATAAAATGATTGAACCAATTTTCAAAGGTATGTTTTATGACATTAAGCAAGAAAAAAATCAATGTAGAGCATATTGCAACACTCACAAGATAACTCATACGGAAGAGGTAATCTAAAGGTCTTAAAGCCAACGATGCGCCACCAGCAAAGTTCAAAACCACAGTGGGGAATATATAAGTTATGCTGCTGCTGCTGTTTAAAATAAGAAGGATAACAGATCAGTCATTCAAACAATTAACAGAGTAAAGATAGAGCAAAGAATTGTGAGTGAACGGACCTTGTATTAACCACATAACACTGCATCGATTTAGATACAAAGGGAGCTGCAGACTGTGAAACCATACTTGTTATCTGCACAACAATGCAGCAAACATGCTATTTAATATTTATGGTGAACAAAGTGTAAAAGGATGATGTTTGGATATAGAAAGAGTGGAAAACGTAAATTTTATTAGCACTGCAGTAGAAAGGAGGAAAAAAGATACTCAGGCAAACTTACAGCACTGATAAAGGGTTCATAAGCTTCAGGGGGAAGATATGCCAATGTTGTGCCGGAATCTATAATGGTTCCACGACTTTCAGATGTAACAAACACTCCTGGATCAATAGGCAATAATATCCCATTAACAGCAATGCTCTGCATGTACAAATTATAATGTGGCCTGCAGATAAACAAAACAAATCCTGAGAATGGTTATATGCTGCTTAAAAGTATCCCCTTCATCCCGATTTATTAGTTGTTTTAGTCAATACTTTTTCGTCACAAAAATATTGTCTTTAGGAATCCAATGCAGATTTTATATTGTTACACCAAACTACTGTTAACTTTTCCCATATCAAATGTTTCTGTACCTAATTGATGTTGAACTTCTATAAATATAGAATATCATGTAGAAATTGTTTCTTAATAGGTGTGTACCTTTCTAAAAAGTCAATTAAATTGGGACAGAGGGGGTATGGTTGGAGATCATAGCACTTACCTGCTTGCAATGAGGTATAATTAATGCAACAAGACAAGAAATGAGTACTTACCAATAATAATTGAGGGTGCGTGGTTTTAAAATCTATGGCACATCATAAGTTCTGGGAAAGAGAAAAGGGTATACGTACTGTGATGGAACAAGTGGGGTATACACAATTCTTGGATCCAAAATTTCACCAAGAACCAAAATCCCTCCACCCGTCTCATCTCCTTTCAAACAGTGGGAAAAAACTTTTGGAGTAATCCCAAGCGATGACAGTTGTGATATAACTGAAAGATCATGTCGACCAAACCCGAAAATCCCATCAACTGCTCTATATCCATTAGTCAGATCTCCAGATTGCAAGGTGCTGCACCTATTTTCATGTAACACAGCAAGTGCCGAAGTAGCCGAACGAGTTAGTATAAATTATAAAAAGTTTAGATATTTCATGTCAAAAATACATCTGTATTCTTAAGTTGTTTGCACAGTGAAGATTAATGAAGTATAAGCAATGAAACAGCAATTGGACATATTGTGTAGGGGCGAACAAAAACTTAACAAACCATAACCAACCTAACCTGAATCAATCAAAACCAAAACCCACAAAAAAAACATGGTTCCGTTTACGGGTTAAGCTTATGCTCTCAAAACTGACCAAACCGCAAAAACAACTAAAACCGATCAAAACACGCCAAAAATTTTCCGAAACTGCCACGAACTCACCGAAAATAACCTTTGAAACCGACCGTAACTGTTTTTTACCCAATTAAGTGATGTTGCATTTGTCAAAACTGAACAAATGAACACCTCCAGTACTCTTACTCTCAATATAAGTTTAACAATATTCCTTCATATTGGAAAGCTCTTTATCTGACTCAATCCATTAACTGGACTTATGTTGACATATCCTCAACAGTGTTTAACCACTCACCCAAAAACTACTGGGGCTGAAGAGTTGGCTACCAATGAGTTAGCCAAGACAGTGTCGAAGTATAGCATATCAGATACATAATGGCCGGTTGTGCCACTTCCATCTCCGTATTGGAATGAGTAACCACACTGATCACTCTCAGTAAAGCATTTGGCATAGGCTGCTTGACTAAGAGAATAACAGGTTTTGTCCGAACAAGTGATAAGAGAAGCAGTGGATGAGCTGGAAGCATCATAGAAGTTGAGATCAACCTGTTGCATGCTGATTATCACACAGAAGACATAAAAAGTAATAATTACAAGCAAGAGCCAATGAACCACATACATAAGAAGTGAGGGGGGAGACTGCTTTACCCTGAGGCCGCTACTCCTAGGACAACCTACGCAGGAAGAGCATGCAACCCATAGGATGTCACTTCCCGTATCAAACTGTACATTGAATTCTCTAGGAGAAGAGCCCAATTTTACTTTGACATAATAAAGACTGTAGTCACACCAAAATGATTCAGTAATGAGAAAAAAATAAGTCAACAGAAGAGCTAATGACACATTAAATTAGTGGGATGATTATTGCAAGAAATTTCACCAGATCACATCGTTGACATGATGTTTTCAGCAAATTTTAAATGTGACATTCGGAAGACATTAATACGGTGGTTGTCATTCATCACATGGATTTATTTCATTATCAAATACATGTGTGTCACATATGGAATGTCACCTTTTCACTTCTCCATTTAACTTTTTTTATTTTTCATTTTCCTATTAGTTTGAACCTCTACAACTCCACAAGCTCTAAACCCCAACCCTCATCCTGCCAACAAAAGAAATCACAATAAAAAAGTGTAAAATAGAGGAGTCAAAGGCCAAAAAGGGAAAAGTTTCCAGATTACATTCTTGAATGCCCACGCTCCCACAGTCAAATTCTATGATCTATTAGAATTATTAGCTTATTATATCTCTAACTATCACCAAATTCAAAAAATCTATCCTATTCTTTATCTTTTATATAAAAAGACCAAAACTTCATCTTTTTCGACAATTATATTTTCACGTCAGCATTTTTCAAAATTCAAAATTTATATCAGTATTAATAATTTTATAAATTACATTATATTTATTAATCATTAAACTACATAGTATTTATTAATTATTAAATTTTATGTTTCTTCATGATTATGAACAAGAACTAACTACAATCAAATAATGAAAAACTAATCATATATATAACTGATTTTTTTATAAAAACTTGAAAATAATAAAAAATGTATTCTAATTATCCATGAACTAACCATCAGATACATTAATGTTTTTTATAGAAGTTGCAATCACTAATATTTATTGTTTCGTAAAATTTATTTGTTACCAAGAAAACTTTGAACTCTTTCCATATAGTTGTATGTGACACTTTTATATTTCTAGTTATATTTCATATATTTTGTACAGCAATTTGATTAATCGCAACACTTGTTTCTGCACAAGGAAGCAAATATTTTTGTAGAAATAAAACTTTGTATAAAAATTTAGAGTATAAGTAATACTACGTACTAGTTTCTCAACTTAAAACTAGAAAGAAATAGGGGGGAAATGAAATAGAAATAAAATATTTTCTTAAAGGATATCATAGGTTTGTGAATTTGAGGATAGTTGGGTTTATATCAAGCTGATAATCCCAATGAATTACCATAGAAACGAAAGGAAATGCATATAATAAAAAGAAATAAAAATAGAAAATGGGATTGCTTCCATACTACTCCGTATTTTCGAAGATCAAAAATATTCAATTCATCAAGATTTCGAAGTCCATAACTACTTGAAAAGATAAAATTTTTAAAACCTTATACATTAACAAATACAACAACGCACTACGTAATTGAACTTGAATGCGCAAAAAGATAGTCATTTTTTAGTAAAATAACTGGTTGGGGGTGAAAGTACCCGAGCATGTTTGGATCCGCCAACCCTGCAATTGAGAAATCGACGATGCCCCCGGAAAGTCTCTGCAACATTCGAGCATGTCTTAGCCGATCCCGAGCTCTAAGCGCCTTCACCTCCATGTTCTTGTTCGTCGGAAAAGCCCTTTCCAGTGTCATTACACCTTTCGGGATTGGTTGGGCTCCAGCTTTCGCCACCGCGAGTGAAACGGTGGCCGCCGCCATCACAAACACCATTGTCAGTAAATTAACGCCTATCATGCCCTCAACTCGTGAACCACCTGCTTGTACTGGTGAGTTGTGACCAAGATATGCAATTGCTTAAAAAAAAGCATTTCTCAGCTTTTGGCTTAAAAAGCACTTATTTACCAAACACTTCCAATTTTTACTTTTTCTCGGCTTGCGTGTGAAAAGTGTTTTTCCCTTTTCTATTACACAAAAAGCACTTATTTTACCAAACACTACCAACTTTTACTTTTCAAAATCACTTTTTTCTCAAACACTATCAACTTTTACTACTAATCACTTTTTCATTACATCTCAAAAAGTGCTTTTTTTTAAGCAGAAGCAGTTGCAAACACTCCCTAAGAATTAATAGCACATTAGCTATAGCGTGGAAAACATGAAGAAAGACGGAAAAAGACAGCTTCACTCTTTTTTTTTAAGATATACGGAGTACCACTGTACCAGTAGTAAAGATCAACTAATCCTTCATGTGTCCCATATTTATTTCCCGAGAGAGTCAAATGAGGACCAAGATAATATTCACTCATAAATATTCACTCATGAGGACCAAGATAATATTCACTCATAAATAGGAAAGAGGAAATAATTTTGAAATGAATCGAAATGAAAAGATTGAAGATAATATTGGAACGGAGGGAGTAGCATGTTGTTTGACATTCATAGCAAACTAGCAACGAGTGAGCACCGAGCACTGAGCAAAAGGCCTTAAAAGTATCACAAACTTGTATATGTAACATATATACAATTTATATCTAAATTGTATATAAAAAAGTTAGGAAAAATTATCAAATAAGCCCTTTTACTGTTTCAAAAAAGTTAATTGAACCCCTCAACTAAAACCACACCCAATCAAAACCATGAACCACAAAAAAGAGTCCAATCCTCTTTTTAACTTGAAAAGAAGCGTATTAACCGGTTACTTGTTATCCTACGTGGCAATTTTCATTTTTCTCATTCTTTTTTTGTTTTTTCTTTCTCTTTCCCTCTCCACCACATTTCTCTTCCACACTCTGTTCCTCCAACCTTCACGCACATTCTTCACCCCCTTCCTCCAACTTCTTCTGCTCACATTTCCTTCTCCTCTTTTCTCTTTCTTCTCATTCCCATCAGCCGTCGGACGGCGCTCCACTACTCAAAGTTTGAGGGAACCGAGGTCACTGGAGAGTGGAGACGCTCGATCTGTAGTGTATGCATTAGGGGCCCGTTTGTTATGATGTAAAGTAAACTCTTTGCGTGTAAAGTGTGGGGAAGTAAGCATTTCACACCGTTTGTTTTAATTGTTTAATGTAACCTGTATGACACTAAAAAACATTTTACATTGTACCATGTGACATATATTACGAGGAAGTAAGGTAGTAAACTAGTTTACATCTCGTTAATACGAAAGAATAAATATATCCCGTCGGTAAATATCCAGACGACAAGTAAAAATGTTGCCGACCTTTGAAGATACGAGTGTGGCGGTAAACATAAATCATGCCGGCAATAAATAAGACTCGTTTTTCCTCCACCCGTGTAACTGTGTTGCTCTGAATATTTCGTTCAATCGTTCCCAGGGAAAAGCTTCTCTATATATATTAGAATGATTTAGAGATATTACCCAAAATGGGACTAAAAAAGTTTGAAAAATTCAAAATAGGACTTCCATGTTTTTATTCCCAAAATAGGACTAATTACTGCCATGTTTTGGTAGTACCAGACTTCCATGTTTATACACGTCTATAACGTGTGTTTATCTCGGTGTCCTTTCCGAACATCACTGGGTAGTTATGAACTAAGTTATCTTAATTTAAATCATATATGTGTTTGTATCCTGCTAGTTAGAGCTTAATAAAGCAATTTTCCTTAAAATTATCCTCTTACAGTCTTGAGTTCAAGTTCTATCTTTCAGTTAATTGATGTTTCTGAACTTAAGTTATGCACACCAACTATTTGATGAAATGTTAAAATGGTAATGGTGTTAATGTACCTCAATTTTAAGCTATAATTTATGATTTACTGGTTATAAGTTATTTTCTTGTTTCTATTAATATATGGTAATGTGTTTTGATACTTTCCAATCGAAAAACTAGTTTACTTTTTTGTCAATCTTTTATTTAGTTTTTGCTCTTCATCATTCCTTCTGAGCTAAACTTTGTCTACTGCTACTGATGTTATCTTTGTAATCTCAGACTTTTTATCACTACAAAGCTTTGCTTTTTATTTAGTGGTTAAGTTATAAGTTATAATTTTTTCTTTAGAAGTTACGGAGTATTATTCTGGTTCATTTTATAAATGTATAACATGTTTCAAAACTTTCTGTTGAGTTTAATCCAACACGATATAGTAAATATATGTATGAACACTCAGTTTTTACGTGGAAACCCGAAAGGGAGAAAACCACGGGACTTTTTAGGCTAATGTCCAAGCCCTCTCATTCTCATTAGTCTCTCCTCACCATTACATAGTACAAGTATTGAAGCTCCCATTAATGGAGTTCTAATCTAGCTAAGGAGGGAGAAGAAGAAGGGAAAAAGGGATCCTTTACATGGAGGCTAAGCTCCATATTTATAGGAAATAGGGGGAAAGGGGGCTCTCCACCCTAACGGGCCGCATGGACCGGAATGGGCCCAAATGGCTAAAGTGGGCCAGAATGGGCCGAAACGGGCCTAGCTGCTTGGGCTCCGTACTGGATAATGTCTTCGGCTCCTGAACAGTAATAGGCCGGGATAATATATCCCAACACTTTCCAAATGGAAATTGTAACACCCCGATTTTTATCAGCTAGTTATACTAATCATTATTAATTTTAGCTAGTTATATAAGTTCTTCTATGAATAGTGCGATATATTGTTTCATATTTTGTTTGTGCAGATAACGTCGCCCGGAAAGCTCTTATAATTTTAAGTGAGGAAATAGTTAATATTCTATATTATTAGTATATTACTAAAACGGAGAGCATAATAATTTTAAGTTTAAAATATATATATATATATATATATATATATATATATATACACACGTTTTAAAGTTTAATCAGTTTTATTGAAAGAGAAATAATTATTTTAAAGATAATTAGAAGCCTGAATCAGTTATCTTGGCCCGAATAAGTGTTGTAATTAAAGTCCTAAGAAGGAGTATATTATATAAATACGTTTTTTCTTCCACCCATGGTGGCCGCACTTTTTCTCTTCTAATTGACAGAAGCCCATAGACTGAATCTCGGATTTTCTCAAACCTGGTGAGTTGAATACTCCTTACTTCGTATATATATATTTATATATGGCCACTTGTAAATTTAAGATTTGTTAAAGCTCTATAGATTTATATATATAACTAGCATTAACGTGCTGCTTATTTTTCTCTCGATTAGAAAGAAATTCTTATTTCAGTTTGTAAAATTAGCAGTAAGGTGCTGATAAGCGTGGACAGAATTCTTTTCTGAAATATAACTTTGATTTAGTTAATTGATTAGGTCCTTCTGATTCTCTTATAGATTGTTTATTCTCCCAGTAGTCATCCTTCAGATTGAAATTCATTCTTTTCAAATTCAATTACTAAGTAAATATCTCCCTGAGTGCTTATATTCTCGCTAGAAGAAATAAGTCGGTTTAGGGACATTGATTTTTGTTGGTATCTAGTCTAGCAAAAAGACCATTAATTGAGTGTTTGGTCGGCATATTTCATAACTAAATAAATAAAAACAGTTCCACTTTTTAGAGTTTTGGCCTTACTATACAGTTAAAGTTTTAGCTATTTGGCTTATTAGACAAGGAATTCTAAATTATGACTATTCTAAATAAAGATTTAAGTGAAGAGCTTCCCGGAAGACGTTATCAAGGTGCCACACTTATCTGAGTATTTTGAGTTCTGCTGCTAACAGGTAAGTTCACTACCACCTGTACATGTTTGTTCAACCAAATAAAAGAAAGAAGTCTGGTTAATTTTTAGTAGATGATTTTAGTCTATATGCTATTATGTGAACCTGGTGAATTATTTGCTGAGTTACTTTATTTGTTGTATTAAGTTATGTTTATTATCTGACATAGTTAAGATTTTGTCAGTACTTTTATTTTCAGATCTAATGATGTTTTTTTTAATCAAACGTCACCACCATAAAAGAACTAATATTTAAAGTGAAAGATAAGGTGATATGTACTCGGGAACAAGTTCCCTCAAATTAGCATTTTTCAGTTTCAGATAGTCCGATATGTTTAGTGGGTCGCTCCCCTGAGCTGTCGGATTGGCGCCTTTGAGTACATATCACGGGCCCAGAGTTAAAATTAGCCACAAAGTGTTTATAGAAAGTTTATGGGATCTCTTTCAGAAAGTTTTACAGAAAGTTGTTTTGAGATCTCTTTCAGAAAGTTTTACAGAGATGTTTGAGAAAGAAATTTTGAGATCTCTCCAGTAGTTTTTGAGAAATTATCTTAGAAAATATTTTCCTTTTGAGATCTCTCTCAGAATATGTTTGAGAAGTTATGTGTTAGTTATTTGTTCAGTGCATGCTTATAGCTTAAATTTATCTATTGATAAATTGGCCTAGACTTCTAGATATTTTTGTGGAGTCATAGTGACTTACTAAGCGTAAAGCTTATCAGTTTTTCTTCTTCGCATGTACAGATACTAAGGGTAAGGCCAAGGCCTAAGAAAATGATGAGGGAGTGGAACGCGTGCCAAGATGAGTTAACAGGAAAGACCTTGGTGGCTTCTAGCTAGATATGATTTTGTTTCAGTGTTTCAGTGTTATAATAACGAGATTATTATTTTTTATTTTATTTGAGGATTTGATGTTTGAATAAATTCCTGGATCCAGGTGGTTATCACATTTGCTGGTGATAACTGTATTTTATTATATTTTTATTTGGAGTGGTTTTAGTTACTTTTGAGATTTTATCAGGGTTATTTTCTTAAATAGACGGCCGTTATACTGCAGTTTATTTTTAAAAGTAGTAGATTAGTGTAAAGTTTCCTTTAACCCTGAGAGGGGCGTTACAGAAATATAACTACTCTTGTTGCTAATCATTATTCTTATTCTTTTTTGTCGTTAGTTTTCCTTGGAACTTCTCAGGTAAATATTTTGT